CTTCCTGGCCATCATCATTGCGCGCACATCCTGTCCCCGGGGGCTCACTCGCTGCTCTGCCGAGAGGGGGGTCCCCGCGGCTCCGCTGGGGGAGGGGAACGGCGGCGCTCAGGGCGCCGGGGACGGGGCGCTCCTCGCTCCCATCCCCGCCGGGCCGGCGGCGCCTCAGTCCGTGCTGCTCCCCGTCGTCGGGCGGCCGGCGAGTCCCCCTTGGGGCAGAGAGAGAGAGAGAGAGAGAGAATGAGGTGGGATCAGTGGTTTGGGGGTCCGGCACCCGAATCCATCGAACGTCCCACGCCGGGACAGAGGGGAGGCACCGGCGGCGGTGGGGAGGGGATGGACACGGACAAGGGGTCGTTGTGGTGGGCAAGGGATCACCAGAGCCCCCCAAGACACATTCATGGCTTCACCACCCAACCAAGGGCTTGCCGTGGTGGGCACAGAGTCCCCACCCAACCAAGGGGTCACCATGGTGGGCAAGGGTTCACCAGAGCCCCCCAAGACACACTCATGGCTTCATCACCCAACCAAAGGCTCACCGTGGTGGGCACAGAGTCCCCACCCAACCAAGGGGTCATTGTGGTGGGCAAGGGTTCACCACAGCCCCCCAAGACACATTCATGGCTTCATCACCCAACCAAAGGCTCACCGTGGTGGGCACAGAGTCCCCACCCAACCAAGGGGTGGGTCATTGTGGTGGGCAAGGGTTCACCACAGCCCCCCCAAGACACATTCATGGCTTCACCACCCAACCAAGGGCTCGCCGTGGTGGGCACAGAGTCCCCACCCAACCAAGGGGTCGTTGTGGTGGGCAAGGGTTCACCACAGCCCCCCAAGACACATTCATGACTTCATCACCCAAATGGGGGCTCACCATGGTGGGCACAGCCCCCAACCCCTCACTCGTGGCTTCTCAGGTAAACTCTGAAGGTCCTTCCACCCCAAAAAACCCTCCATGATTGACTGGGGGGGGGTTCTGAGGGTCCTTCCACCCCAAAAACGAGGATTTGGGGTTGAACACAAGCATTTGGGTTGAACACGAGCGTTTGGGGTGGGACACGAGGATTTGGGGTGGAACAAGAGGATTTGGGGTGGGTTTGGGGTGGAACACGAGGGTTTGGGGTGGAACACGAGGGTTTGGGGTGGATTTGGGGTGGAACACGAGGGTTTGGGGTGGGACACGAGGGTTTGGGGTGGAACATGAGGGTCTGGGGTGTTCCCAGGATGGGGGGGGGGGTGCCCTGGGAATTCCCAGCTCCCCCATTCCCCGGGAATGTCCCTTATCACCGGCGCGTGTCCCTCCTCGGGGGCGGCACCCGGAGCACGTGGGTGCTCTGCTGCCAGGCCTTTAATTACTCCCGCTAATTACCCATCCCTCCATCCCCAGGGGGGATCCCGCTGGGAATGCCGCCCTCATTCCAGGTTATCCCTCAATCCCCACCCCTCACCCTTCCCGAGGGACAACCTTGGGTGGGTGCTGAGCCCCCCCTGGGTGGGTGCTGAGCCCCCCCCTCACCCCCTCCCCGATCCTGGAGGGGGATCCTGATCTTGTCCCAGTCCTGTCTTGCTGCTCCCACATCCCTGATCCGAGCGGGAATGGCACCAGGGATGCTCAGGAATTCCCTCCTGGGGCTGGATTTTCTCACCCCACCCCACCCCACCCCGGGGATAGGAAAGATCCGGAAAAAAGGGTCGTGGGGATCGTCCTAAAATTAATTAATTAAGCTTTGGAACCGCCTGGACCCCCAAACCCTTCGCTCTCCCGCAGCAGGTGGGGCAGCCTGGACTCCCTGGAGCCTCCAGGGCCTTCCCTGCTCCCCAATCCAAAGGGATTTTCCCGATTTTCTGCAGGAAATAATCCCCCCCCTTGGGTTGTGGAGCCA